TTTTGTGAGATAAAGAATGTAATAGTATCGATATCAATTTATTAAAATTATCTTTCTACTTGACTGAACTTGTATTTTATCCGAAACTTGTAGTTCGCGCTACATTCGCGCGAGTACTTTTCGGTTCAAAATACTACTCTCTAAGGTCGGAATTCATAGTCGGTTCTTACTTCAAGACCGTCTTAAGTAAATGTCTTATATAAGATGCTAATGCGACCTTCTAATTGATTCGTGACACCTCACGACAGAACTTAAGATGGTTTTGAATATGAAAACTGACTATGAATGCCAGCCTAAAATCTTTAGAATAAATTGTCCCTCTAGAGTGTAAAATCTCACTCTTAAAGATAGAAAATTGAGTCACTTTTTTTCAAGATTTACAAAAGCTTGACTTACCACTCTTCCACTCTTTCCACTCTTTAGAATAAGATTTCACTCCAAAGAATTTAGAGAGTACGAAATTCAATAGACACATTCTCTCCCTCTCTTTCACGCAATATTATTTAACGTTTGACAGCGGTCCAAACACGCTCGCAGGTAAATCATTAGCTTCCATTTCCGCTTTAACGGTCATCGTTACTTGTCACTTAAAGCGCTGTTAGCTTGTTCGTTCCGGACGAACCTATCCACGCATCGTGCATCGGGAATCAGAGAGAATATTGAGAGTACCGGGCACACACAGGCGCGAGTGTTCACGAGTCCTGTCTTTTACTTTATTTATTTGTCACTTGCATATTTTCGCGCGTTCACGCCTGCTTGGGATGTACAACGGGCGCGGTCGGCTCAGAGCGGAAACACGACAATAAGAAACCGGTGTACATAAGGAAGAGAATGGTAATGGCAATCAGCATGTACATATAGATGTTCAGTTCCGGCTGTCGATATCTATTCTTGCGCAACCACTCGAGAACGTCCTGTTCTTTGTGCAAATCACCTGTAGAGCAATTAATATAAAACTTAAGAGCACCGAAGAAAAGCGATCCTATAATAATAAACTATTTTTGATGATAGAGTAGATCGAGACGAATCGGATCATAAAGAATTAGATACTATATTTCCGCAAAGCTTCTTACCTCTGTAGATACTTGGGAATCGTTTGCGGAAATAAACAATCGCGGGAAGCTTAGTAACTCCCCATTTCCTAGCGTATCTAGGATCTGCCATCTTGACGAATGTAATATCCAGATTATCGGTTTCATCGTCGATTTCTTCCAATTTTTCGTTTGCCTCTTCACTTTCAAGACTATCATGTTCATCTGGAAATGATAGACGTATAACGAAATAATTTTCAAATATAATATTGTCACACAATTTGTATTTTATATTTGCTCACAAAAGAAGACTGCGAGAAACTCATTCTCGTCCAACAATTTGTCTAGCATCTTCCTGTTAACTTCCTCAATCTCATTCTTAATCTCAAACACATCTTGAGAAGTGAGCCATTGTAGGATTTTGTCTTCTTGTGTAAGATCTCCATCATATATGAGTGGCGTTTTCTTTCGGAAGTACACGAGGGATGGAACATTGAGAATGCCATATTTTTCAGCAGCTTCCGAACTGGAGATCTTAACGAAGTCGATTCCGAAAAGATCGGCTTCGCCGTCAATTTTCTCTAGTGCTTCCATAATATCGTCACATTCTGGACAATCTTCGTCATCTAGAAAAAAGAAAAATATATATATATATATATATAAA